GCAGGAGAATGGCGTGAACCCAGGAGGCGGAGCTTGCAGTGAGCCGAGATCCGGCCACTGCACTCCAGCCTGGGCGACAGAGCAAGACTCCGCCTCAAAAAAAAAAAAAAAAAAAAAAAAAAAAAAAAGAAAAAGAAAACTTTGGCCGGGCCGGGTGGCTAACGCCTGTAATCCCAACTACTCAGAAGGCTCAGGCAAGAGAATTGCTTGAACCTGGGAGGCAGAGGTTGCAGTGAGCCGAGATCATGCTACTGCACTCCAGCCTGGGAAACAGAGCAAACGCCATCTCAAAAAAAAAAAAAAAAAAAAAAAAGGAAACTTTGTAACCCTACTGTGAATGGAAAGTAGATACGGCTTACCATTAATACAAGTTTATCAAAAAATAAATACAATGTAAACAAATCATGCTACTAAATTCCAAGCGAGTGCTGTTGCTTAATGAAGGGCTTTTCTTTTCTTTTTTGTCAAAGTCATTAAGTGTTAAGAGACATAAAACATATTAGCACTGACTGAGCCTCTCTCCTCCAAGAATTGGAAATTGAAAAAGTTGATTACTTTCAGACAGTTCAGGGATTATTATTATTACTATTATTATTTTTTTTTTTTTGAGAGGGAGTCTCGCTCTGTCACCCAGGCTGGAGTGCAGTGGTGCAATCTTGGCTCACTGCAACCTCCGCTTTCTGGGTTTAAGCAATTCTCCTGCCTCAGCCTCCTGAGTAGCTGAGATTATAGGTGTGTGCCACGACACCAGGCTAATTTTTGTGTTTTTAGTAGAGATGGCGTTTCACCATGTTGTCCAGGCTAGTCTTGAACTCCTGACCTCAAATGATCCACCTGCCTCAGCCTCCCAGAGTGCTGGGATTACAGGCATGAGCCACCACGCCTGGCCCAGTTCAGTGATTTGGAATGCAGGGCAACATAGCACCACAATTTATCTTTCTTTCTTTTTCTTTTTCTTTTTCTGTTCTGTTCTTTTTCTTTTTTTTTTTTTTGAGTCGGAGCCTCGCTCTGTCACCCGGGCTGAAGTGCAGTGGCGTGATCTCGGCTCACTACAACCTCTGCCTCCCAGGTTCAAGCAATTTTCCTGCCTCAGCCTCCCGAGTAGCTGGGACTACAGACGTGTGCCACCACGCCTGGCTAATTTTTTATATTTTTAGTAGAGACGGGGTTTCACCATGTTAGCTAGGATGGTCTTGATCTCCTGACCTCGTGATCTGCCTGCCTTGGCTTCGTGAAGTGCTGTGATTACAGGCATGAGCCACCGCGCCCAGCCCACAGTTTATCTTTCTATGGAAACATCGTGTCAGCTCACTAAATCTTCACAACAGGCCTGAGAGGGCAGTACCATTATTATTTTCACCACTTTACAGGTGAGGAAACTGAGGCGTCAGACGGGTGGTGTGGCTTGCCTGTCTCTATCATTTCCTAATTGTGTGATTTATGGTAAGTTCCCTAACTTCTCTGGGCTTTAGTTTCCTTGCTAGTGGTTATTAGCAAGAGACAGGATCGCATGAGCTCAGTATTTCAAGGCTACAGTGAACTATGCTCTGCACTCCAACCTGGGCAACAGAGCAAGACACTGTCCCAAAAGAGAAAAAGAGGCCAGGTGCAGTGGCTCACACCTGTAATCCCAGCACTTTAGGAAGCCGAGACGGGTGGAGTTCGAGACCAGCCTGGCCAACATGGTGAAACCCCGTCTCTACTAAAAATACAAAAATTGGCCGGACGTGCTGGTGGGTGCCTGTAAATCCAGCTACTCGGAAGGCTGAGGCAGGGGAATTGCTTGAACCCGGGAGGCGGAGGTTGCAGTGCACTGAGATCATGCCATTGCACGCCAGCCTGGGCCACAAGAGCAAAACTCTGTCTCAAAAAAAAAAAAAAAAAAAAAAAAAAGAAAAGAAAAGAAAAAGAAAAGGGATAACAATAGTTCCTGGCTTAGGATTTTTTTTTTTTTTTTTTTGAGACAGAGTCTTGCTCTGTCACCCAGGCTGGAGTGCAGTGACACGATTTCGGCTCACTGCAAGCTCCTTCTCCTGGGCTCATGCCATTCTCCTGCCTCAGCCTCCCAAGTAGCTGGGACTACAGGCACCCGCCAACATGCCCAGCTAATTTTTTGTATTTTTAGTAGAGACGGGGTTTCACCGTGTTAGCCAGGATGGTCTGGATCTCCTGACCTCATGATCCACCCACTTCAGCCTCCCAAAGTGCTGGGATTACAGGCGTGAGCTACCACGTCTGGGGTAGGATTGTTAAGAACATTAAATGAAGGCTGGGCACGGTGGCTCACGCTTGTAATCCCAGCACTTTGGGAAGTTGAGACAGATCACAAGGTCAGGAGTTCGAGGTCAGCCTGGTCAATATGGTGAAACCCCGGCTCTAATACAATACAAAAGTTAGCCAAGTGTGATGGTGGGTGCCTGTAGTCCCAGCTACTAAGGAGGCTGAGGCTGAGGCAGGGGAACGGCGTGAACCCAGGAGGCAGAGCTTGCAGTGAGCGGAGATCGCGCCACTACACTCCAGCCTGGGCGACAGAGCGAGAATCCATTTCAAAAAAAAAAAAAGAACATTAAATGAGATGATACTGAACATCAAGCACTTAAAAAAGAAAAATAATAAGTAATATAATTAATTAGTTATTAAATTATATGTTAATTATTATATCACATTATTATATTAAAAATAATACACTAAAATATTTAATATATTATATAAAATATTATTTTTAATATAGTAATTTTATATTTTGATATAATAATATTGCTATTATATAATAAGTAATTACATAATAGTATTGTTATGCACACTTTTGCTAACTGCTTGCTAAGGCCAGGCTCTTTTATTTATTTATTTATTTTTGAGACGGAGTCCTGCTCTGTTGCCGGATCTCAGCTCACTGCAAGCTCCGCCTCCCGGGTTTACGCCATTCTCCTGCCTCAGCCTCCCGAGTAGCTGGGATTACAGGCGCCCACCACTGCGCCCGGCTAATTTTTTGTATTTTTTAGTAGAGACGGGGTTTCACCATGTTAGCCAGGATGGTCTCGATCTCCTGACCTCGTGATCCGCCCGTCTCGGCCTCTCAAAGTGCTGGGATTACAGGCTTGAGCCACCGCGCCCGGCCAGGCCAGGCTCTTTTAATTATAATAATAATAATTGTTATTATTCCCACAAAGTTGACTTAAAGTTCAAGGCCAGCTTCAGTAAGAAAACTCACTACCATCCATCGAGCGCCTACTCTGACATAGGCAGTGAGCTAAGCCTTTGACATGCTTTATCTCCATCTTCCTTTGTTGAGGTTGGTTCTGTCACCATCCTCTCCGTATGACAGGTGAGCAAAAAGAGGATCAGAGAGGTAAATTCACTCGCCCAAGGTCATACAGCTTAAAGCAGAGGAACTCAGGCCAGGTGAGTTGGCTCATGCGTATATAATCCCGGCACTTTGGGACGCTGAGGCGGGCAGATGACCTGAGGTCAGGAGTTTGAGACCAGCTTGACCAACATGGTGAAATCCTATCTCTACTAAAATACAAAAAAAAATTAGCTATGTGTGGTAGCGGGTGCCTGTCATCCCAGCTACTTGGAAGGCTGAGGTAGGAGAATCGCTTGAACCCAGGAGGCAGAGATTGCAGTGAACTGAGATCGCACCACTGCACTCCAGTCTGGGTGACAGAGCCAGACTCCATCTCAATTAAAAAAAAAAAAAAAAAAAAAAAGGCAAGTAGAGGAACTCAGCATTCAAACCCAAGCCTGTGTCACTGAGAGCTTTCTGCAACCCTTGGAAGCCAGGACTGTGGATCCTAGACCTGAAACCTCAAAGGTTTCCTCTCCTCACAGAGGCTTTGAAGTGGCTTCTGGTGGAAGATGGGACATTCTGAGCAGATGAGGTCTTCACTCTCTAAGAGTTGGGGGCCTCAATCCAGCCCCACTTTCCCTAGCCGAAACAGGAAGTCGGAGGTCCTTGAAGGGGAAATGAATGTCATGGTTACAGAGACAAGGATTTCAGGGGAGCTGAGCTGAGCCCACTGGGGTAGGTGTCCAACTGCTGCCCCAACCTAGGCAGCAGCAACGTGTGGCTTTGGATGGTGCCAGGGCAGTAAAACCTGAGTTCAGAGCCAGCCTAGGGTTACCACCTGTGTGCCCTCTCCAATGATTGTGCTTCATCCCTCTGTTTACTCATCTGTAAACTTGGGCTAGCCATGCTACTCATCTCAATGGACTCTACGTTATTATTTTTGAATGACAGTTCTAAAAACAGTCCCCTCCCTTCAATCCCAGCACCTTGGGAGGCTGAGGCGTGAGGATCACTTGAGCCCAGGAGTTCAAGACCAGCCTTGGCAACATGGCAAGATCATGACTTTACAAAATATAAAATATATATTAAAAAAATTAGCTAGGCATGGTGGCAGACTGTGCCTGTGGTCCCAGCTGCTTGGGAGGCTAAAGCAGGAACGTTGCTGGAGCCCAGTTGTTTGAGGCTGCGGTGAGCTATGACTGTGCTACTGCACTCCAGCCTGGCTGACAGAGCAAGACCCTGACTCTAACAAATAAGTATATAAAAAATAGTCCAGGTGTGGTGGCTCACACTTGTAATCCTCGCACTGTGGGAGGCTGAGGTAGGCGGATTGCTTGAGGTCAGTAGTTGGAGACCAGCCTAGGCAACATGGTGAAACCCTGCCTCTACTAAAAATACAAAAATTAGTTGGGTGTGGTGGTGGGTGCCTGTCATCCCAGTTACTTGGGAGGCTGAGGCAGGAGAATTGCTTGAACCTGGGAGGTGGAGGTTGCAGTGAGCTGGGAGACTGCGCCATTGCACTCCAGCCTGGGCAACAGAGTGAGACACCATCTCAAAACAAAAACAAAACAAAATAAAACAAACAAACAAAAAAATTAGCCAGGCGTGGTCGCAGCATGTGCCTGTAGTCCTGGCTACTTAGGAGGCTGAGGCAGGAGTATTGCTTGAGCCCAGGAGTTTGAGGCTGCGGTGAGCTATGATGATGCCACTGTACTCCAGCCTGAGCAACAGAGCAAGACCCTAACTCTAATAAATAAATAAGTACATAAAAGATAAAAACAGTTGCCTGCACTATCCCCCACCCCAGTTCCTATTCCTAGGGAGTCTGGATGGGAGGCCTCTTCCCTGCGTAAACCTGCCCCCTGCCCTGCCTGGACAGTGCTAGCCCCATGGCTTATGCCCAGGGCTGCTCTCACTGCACAGCCAGGCTGCCCTGGTGCAACTGGGGAGCGGCCCAGCAGGTTTTTCCTCTCAGTCTGCCTGCCGCAGGGCACCGGGCTGTCCTCTCCCCGCCTCACCAGGGCCCGGCCTTCCCAAACTTGCCTTCTCCTCTCTGCCGGGCACAGCCGGCTGGCGGTGGCCACTGAGACAAGATGCCTAGCATCTTCGCCTATCAGAGCTCCGAGGTGGACTGGTGTGAGAGCAACTTCCAGTACTCGGAGCTGGTGGCTGAGTTCTACAACACGGTGAGTGAGCGGGTGTGTGAAGGAGTCTCTCCAGTTGCCGGTTCGAATCCCGGTTCCTCCCCATACATCCTTACTGGGGAATCTTGCTGGAGTGGTTCCCCTGTCTGAGCCCTAGTTTTCTCATCTGTTAGCCAAAGAGTGCCAGCTTTCATTCATGTACTCGTCTTTACTTGATGCCAGGCTCTGTGGTAGGTTTTAGAGACACATCGGTGGCCAGGAAAAGAGCCGGTCTCTGTCTTCCCTAAGCTAACGCTTATGTGACTGCAGGCATTTGCAACCGGGGGGGATGGTGTCTTCTTGGGGGCAAAGAGGCAGCTGTGGTTGGGGGAAGCAGAGGGCGCCCTTGAGCCAGAGGGAATGGGCCAATCAGGAAAGGTTTCCTGGAAGAGGTGACTGTGTCTGTCTTGTTTGCAGCTGTACCCTCTGACCAACTTGTCCCGGTGTGCCCAGGACTATCCTGGTTTCTGTATTTAAAAAGTTCTACCTCTTGGCTGGGCGCGGTGGCACACGTCCGTAATCCTAGCACTTTGGGAGGCCAAGGTGGGTGGATTGCCTGAGCTCAGGAGTTCGAGATCACCCTGGGCAGCGTGGTGAAAGCCCATCTTTACTAAAATAAAAAATTAGCTGGGTACAGTGTCAGGCATCTGTAGTCCAAGCTACTCAGGAGGCTAAGGCATGAGAATCGCTTGAACCCAGGAGGCAGAGGTTGCGGTGAGCTGAGATCGTGCCATCGCACACCAGTCTAGGTGAAAGAGCGAGACTGTTTCACAAAGAAAAAAAAAAAAAAGTCCCACCTCCTGGGAAACCCCTCAGTTCTGGGCATTCTGTGTGGTCTTCTTTTTCCCTGTTAAAACACCACACGGGAAGTGCTAAAAAGTCATGGATGTACCTAGCGCCATGGCTCATGCCTGTAACCCCAGCAATTTGGAAGGCCGAGGTAGGAGGATCGCTTGAGCCCAGGAGTTCCAGACCAGCCTGGGCAACATAACAAGACCGTGTCTCTACAAAAAGTTTTTAAAAATTAGCTGGGAGTGGTGGTGCGTGCTTGTAGTTCCAGCTACTTGGGAGGCTGAGGTGGGAGGATTTCTTGAACCCAAGAAGTGGAGGCTGCAGTGAGCTGAGGTCATACTGCTGCACTCCAGTCTGGGCGACAGAGGGAGACCCTGTCTCAAAAAAAAAAAAAGGAAAAGACCAGGCACGGTGGCTCATGCCTGTAATCCCAGCACTTTGGGAGGCTGAGGTAGGCTGATCACCTGAGGTCAGGAGTTTGAGACCAGCCTGGCCAACATGGTGAAACCCCGTCTCTACTAAAAATACAAAAATTAGCCGGGCATGGTGGCAGGTGCCTGTAGTCCCAGCTACTCAGGAGGCTGAGGCAGGAGAATCACTTGAACCCGGGAGGCGGAGCTTTGCAGTGAAGCCAAGGTGCGTCACTGCCTCCAGCCTGGGATTACAGGTGCCACCACCACGCCTGGCTAATTTTTTGTATTTTTAGTAGAGACAGGAGTTTCGCCATGTTGGCAGGCTGTCTGGGCTCCCAACCTCAGGTGATCCGCCCACCTCAGCCTCCCAAGGCTGGGTGATCTTGCTCGGCCTCGTAGTGCTTAGTTCTATGCCTGCGCCCCTGCTCGGTGAGCAAAGAGTGCTTACTGGCCGGGTGCAGTGCTCACACCTGTAATCCCAGCACTTTGGGAGGCCGAGGGAGTGGATCATGAGGTCAAGAGATCAAGACCATCCTGGACAACATGGTGAAACGCCGTCTGTACTAAAAATACAAAAATTAGCCAGGCGTGGTGCCGGGTACCTGTAATCCCAGCTACTCAGGAGGCTGAGGCAGGAGAATCACTTGAACCCGGGGCGGGAGCTTTGCAGTGAGCCAAGACTGCGGCTCCTGCTCCCAGCTACTCAGGAGGCTGAGGCAGGAGAATCACTTGAACCCGGGAGGCGGAGCTTGCAGTGAGCCAAGACTGCGTCACTGCACTCCAGCCTGGCGACAGAGTGAGACTTCATCTCAAAAGGAAAAAAAAAAAAAAAAAAGAGTGCTTGCTGTGTACCAGGCATGGCCCCAAACATTTTACATGAAACACCTCCTTTAATCTGCACAGTGGCGTTGGGAGTTAGACGCAATCTATATGATATAGACTTCTTCCCATTTTCCAGGTGATGAAACAGGTGTTCAAGGAGTTTGAAGGCTGTGCTCAGGGTCACCCTGGTTATTAGAGCCAGGACTTAAAACTTGGTGAGTCCAGGAGACTTTTTTGGGAGGAGGGTCGGAGGCTCAGTTCTAGGATGCTCAGGTTGCTCTGATCCTGTTACCTTTGACCCCGGGGTTTCCCATATCTGGGAAGTGGGATTATGAGACTCCGGGATCCTCATGGTCTCACCGATTCTTTCTCTTCCTTGGCCAGAGATGGTTTCGGGTCCTCAGCAGTTCCACCTGTAATGTGGCAGGGAGCTGAATGATTGGCTCTCGGAGGCTGAGATGATGGGTAAGGACTCTAGAGCTCTTCTCTCTGGAGTCCCCGGCATCCACTGCGGTACAGTGTTCTCTTTTCATCCCACCTCCAGATGAGAGCCCCTGCAGAAGGCGCTGGGAGGCTGGGTGTGGTGGCTCTCACCTTTAATCCTAGTACTTTGGAAGGTCAGGACAGGAGGATCACTTGAGGCCAGAAGTTCAAGACTACCCTGGGCGGCCGGGTGCGGTGGCTCACACCTGTAATCCCAGCACTTTGGGAGGCCGAGACGGGCAGATCACGAGGTCAGGAGATCGAGACCATCCTGGCTAACAAGGTGAAACCCCGTCTCTACTAAAAAAAAATACAAAAAACTAGCCGGGCGAGGTGGCGAGTGCCTGTGGTCCCAGCTACTCGGGAGGCTGAGGCAGGAGAATGGCGTGAACCCGGGGGCGGAGCTTGCAGTGAGCTGAGATCTGGCCACTGCACTCCAGCCTGGGCGACAGAGCGAGACTCCGTCTCAAAAAAAAAAAAAAAGACTACCCTGGGCAACATGGCAAGATCCAGTCCCTACACAAAATTTAAAAACTACCTGTGGGCTGGGCATCGCTGGCTCACACCTGTAATCCCAGCACTTTCAGAGGCCAAGGCGGGTAGATCACTTGAAGTCAGGAGTTTGAGACCAGCCTGGTCAACATGGTGAAACCCCATCTCTACTAAAAATACAAAAATTAGCTGGGCATGGTGGCGCATGCCTATAATCCCTGCTACTGGGGAGGTTTAGGCACGAGAATCACTTGAATCTGGGAGGTGGAGGTTGCAGTGAGCTGAGATCACACCATTACACTCCAGCCTGGGTGACAGAGCAAGACTCCATCTCAAAAAATTGAAAATTAAAAAATTTTGTTTTTGTTTTTGTTTTTTCGAGATGGAGTCTTGCTCAGTCACCCAGGCTGGAGTGCAGTGGCCTGATCTCAGCTCCCTGCAAGCTCCGCTTCCCGGGTTCACGCCATTCTCCTGCCACAGCCTCCCTAGTAGCTGGGACTACAGGCGCCCGCCACCTCGCCTGGCTAATTGTTTTGTGCTTTTAGTAGAGACGGGGTTTCACCGTGTTATCCAGGATGGTCTCGATCTCCTGACCTCATGGTCCACCCGTCTCGGCCTCCCAAAGTGCTGGGATTAGAGGCGTGAGCCACCGCACCCAGCCAAAAATTACAAATTAAAAAATTAAAAATAAAATAAAAATGAAAACTATCTGGTAGGCTGAGGCAGGAGGATTGCTTGAGTCCAGGAGTTTGAAGCTGCAGTACCCTGTTACTGCATCACCGTATTCCAGCCTGGGCAACAGAGCGAGATCCTGTCTCTAAAAAATAAAAGGCATCTAGAAAGGGCTGATTCAGGTGTGTGCTGAGCCCGAGTATAGCTGTGTGTTCTTACTGCATGCAAAATTGTCCTCCACTGGATTCTCCTGTAGCCTGTCCCCAAATAAAATAAATTGAGCCACCTGTAGCTACCTGGTAAGGCTGCAAGTGTCAAACTCCTCTGATCACGACACCTATTAGGAAAGAGATTTTACATCATCATCGTCCCATACCTGCCTTTCCAGATGTGTATCATACAGAAACAAAAGTTGCTCAAAATGAGACTTACCTTTCCCTGGTACAAACACACCCGGTTCTGTTCTATTCTATTCTATTCTATTCTATTCTATTCTATTCTATTCTATTCTATCAAAAAGCCTCTATTCAAGCAGGTCAGGGGATGAGGAATAGAATCAATAGAATCAGAGTTATGTGAGAAAGGGCTTTCCCAAGACCTTCTCCTCCAAAACTCTTCTGAGTATCCCAAACCTATAGCTAATAAATCATACAGTTCAAAAGGGTGGGGTGGGTGGCAACATTTTTCTTTTCATGTTTATTTTATTTTATTTTTATTTTACTGTTTTTAGAGACACTGTCTCACTCTATTGCCCAGCCTGGAATGCAGTGGTGCCATCATAGCTGACTGCAGCCTTGACCTCCTGGGCTTAAGTGATCCTCCTGCCTCAGCCTTCAAAGTAGCTGGAACCACAGGTGCGTGCCACCAAACACAGCTAATTTTTAAATTTTTATACAGATGGGTGCTGGGCACAGTGGCTCACACATGTAATCCCAGCACTTTGGAAGGCCGAGGTGGGTCAATCACTTGAGCTCAGGAGTTCAAGACCAGCCTGCACAACATGATGAAACCCCATTTCTATCAAAAAAAAAAAAAAAATTAACTGGACATGGTGGCATGCATCCGTAGTCCCAGCTACTCGGAAGACTGAGGCAGGAGAATTGCTTGAACCTGGGAGGTGGAGGTCACAGTGAGTGGCGATGGTGCCACTGCACTGCAGCCTGTGTGACGGAGTGAGACCCTGTCTAAAAAAAACTGTTTTGTATAGAGATGGGATCTTGCTATGCTGCCCAGGCTGGGCTCAAGTAATCCTTGTGCCTTCATTTCCCAAAGTGATAGGATTACAGACATGAGCCACTGCACCCAGTGCCAACCTTTTCTGTACAGGGC